CACAGTTGCAGAGCCTCCTTTCTATTGCTCACACTGGCCCAGTGTTGTCCAGACATATCAGACTGGCTGACCAAAGGCTCAAGAAACAACCAAAATGAGGTTACTATTGAATACCAGCCAACACTTTTTGTTATTCAAATGTGAGTTCCTTTTGATACTGGCTTATGGCACAGAATAGTCTGGTCACACCCATAGTCAGAAGGATTAACCCGTATCACACACCCCAAAAATGCTTGTGGTGTAGTTATGCTAGAAGAATTGTGCTTTGTATTGGTGCTGTAAAACCAAAATCAAACCCATATGAGCAAAATGTATGTGCTGTAAAATGACAGGATACATATGCCACCCACCCTGCTAGCCTCAGGGCTCGGGTTAGGGTGTTGCTTTATGTGCCTGATGGATATAACAGAGCATCCAGTGTACGTTCAGCTGAGGCTTTGGTCCAGGGAACACGGATGCACTGGGCTGCCTCTTCTGCCTGTTCCCATGGACCAAATACTGAGTTATCATCATATCCAGGAACTGAGTGGCACAGACCTTGAAATAATCCTATTTAATAATTTATGAGGGAGAGAGTAACATGCAAGGACCTGGCAGAGAAAGGTAACAGGACGTACACAACATAGGACAGGCAAGGAGAGAATGTCAAGCTCTGCACTTAAATGGAGCTCCTGGATGAAACGGCAGCAGGTTTACAGCTGGGTGTCCTAGGTGAGGCTGGTCATCTCAATTATAGCCAATTAGTGCACAGATGATGCAGGGAATGTGACCGCTAGTGGGGAAGTTGGAAAAATTTCAGTGGATATACTACTGTAGTCATTGTGCTCTTAATGTCTTGCTGATGATGGTGTTCAGGCAGAGAAACAGGAGCTGGTTTGAAAATATATTTTTATTATAAACAGCTTCACCAGTCCTGGGTCCTGTTTTCTTTGTAAGGCTGAAGAGGAGGAACCCAGTCTTACTTGCTAAAGGACAGAAGCAGGTATGCACTTGAACCTGATGTAAAACTTGCCCATTTACCCTAAATGCAAATTATCTGGCGGAGATTTTGCATATGCACCCAGGGGTAACAGCGAGCAGACCGTGGCATGTCTCTTACGACTCTTTTGTTAGTTTCAGCAGAATATGATCTGATTTTACTATGTATTTTGTTGTGCCCTGTACGCAGGAGCGTACCTGTATGTTCCACATGGTACAGAAGAAAGGGCAAACATCCTAGGAGTGCTTGTGTTTGGTTTTGATCAGCAGCTTACATTTACTGTTTCCTGCCTATGTGGTGAACATGTGCTTCTCTTCTCCACCAAAGGCACCGTGCTGGCACCGGGCTGTATATAGTCAAGAAACACAAAGGGTGGTCTATCCATATCATAACTGGCACATTTTCATGACAACTTTACACTAACCAGCTTCCCCAAGGTGGTAGCTGCCGTTGGAAGGGGTATGCCACGGATTGCCAGACTGCAGAGGGACTATCGGTTCTCTGAGCTTGAGCGAGTCATCTCCTGGAGATTGTCAAAACGCATCTCAAAAATAAGAAGCACTCAAACCTCCCTTTTCAGTTTTTCTGCCCTCTGCCAGTATTCTGCAAGGGGCTGTCTTATTTGCCATTGAAAGAGCTACGTTTCGTGCTCCTCCTGACAGACTGCTATTTAAGGTTCTGCTTAGCATTCATATTTCCTTCTTGTCAGAATTATTTTCATTTGGTTTTAGAACCAGAGCTATAAATCTGGGAAGCATTTTACGCGCTGTGTTAGGGTTTGATTGAAATCCCATGGAAATCAATGAAAGCTTTCCTATTGACTTCAGTGGACCAGGTGCTTGGGAAATAAGGAAAAATGGTGTGTTTTAAAAGAAGAATTGTATCCATGTCATAATGTTTATTACCAGTAGCAGGAAATAAAACAAAACATATTATGCATGTCTTTTACCGACAGGCCTCACATATCATTTAACTGCTACCTACGTACACCCAGCTGTGACATGGAGTGCAGCAACAGCTGCTCTGGGGTACCTAATAATTCTGCTTAATAAACACAAATATCTGAGGAAAAAGCAAATACCCTTATCTGATTGATATAAACATTCATACAAAAGATCAACATCCAGCAGAAGCAAGTGTCACAGCCTGCTTCTCAGAGCCCAGTGGGAAAAGCTCCCCTGTAGCCTCATTTCTACAAATATTTCTTTAATGACTCACACTTTCCGTGGGTACTGTTAGGAAACCTTGATCTTCCCTTTTAATTTGTAGTAAAGCTTGCAGCTGCGACCTGTTACCAAAAGTGCTGAGCCAAACAAAAAGTCAATATTACAAAGATGTAACAAACGTTTCTGATACTTGTCCAGGTCATTAAATAGGGATTGAGGAGTCTAAAACCAAAGTGTGACATCTGCATGTTACACTGTTGGCTAAAGGACCACAGTCTACTTATGAGCTAGTTACTATAGAGACAAGTCTCAAGTCTCCAGGGGTTTTATGGAGACTTTAGGATACTCAGGTCTTGTCAGAATTGCATTTGTACGTTGTATTCTCAACTAATATTGAAATAATTATAGTTGTGGCATTGCAAAATGCAATTTTGCCAGGACACTATTTAAAGCCTGAATCAAACTTTCACATGCTGACGAGGAAAAAAGGAAACAATGCGGAGAAGTCTCTGAAGTGCATGCAAAAACAAGTGCCGCTTTAATGATGAAGTATTTGATAGTGCCTTTATCAGCATGCAGTCATGTGTTTAAATAGCATGAGCCATAGATGACTGTTGCAGCTTGTCGTTTGCCTTATGGGAGGCAAGAAAGAGCTTCTTGTTTGATCTGTAAGATGAGCTAGCTTGTTGCACAAGGCAACAGAGGAGACTCTGTAGAGAACTCCACAGTGAAGTATTTCCTAAGCTTTTTTGGACTCCTGCCACAAGGAAGTGCAGTGAGCGTAGTCACAGTGCAAGGAACATTGTGAAAGCGATTAGAAAGGAAACACACCTTTAAAGATCACAGCAAAAAAAAACCAAAAAAAAAAACCAACCCAAAAGACCCCAGCTGGTCAGTGAATTACAGAGATGGTAACAAAAATGTGTGTGTGGAAACAGAGAGTATGAAACAGAAAATAAGAAATGAAAGAACTGAAAAATGCTGGGTTTGTCTTACTTTTCCACTGCTCTTAGATGTTAACATGAGCACTTTTGAAATTACTAAGATCAAGATAAAGCTATGCTGATAAGGATAAGTTCCTGATTTCTCCTCAGGTCACAGTGTTTTTAAATACTGGCAAACAATCTGAGACTCACTCCTGAGACCAGTGGAAGCAGATGAGTAGGAGGGTACAATGGAGTTGCTCTGCAGGTTGAGAACACAAACGTGTCTTTATTGAAGCAGTGAAGATATGCAAACTTCATTTATGTTTTTGTGATTACCAGAGAATTGCAACACTTACCTAAGCTAAAAATGGTTTGCTGCTTTAGATTTCCAAGTTTAATACCTATTATAAATGACGCTACAGATATTACACATCCCACTCAGTAAATGCAAAGATGCAGAAGTGAACAAAAATGTTCTGTCCTTTTTTCCAGAGGTGGTGAAGGTGCAGATAGAAATAAATCAACAGCCAAAACAGGCATGTGCTTAGGCTGAATCTATAATCTGAGCGTGATGCTCCAAATTAGCTTTTGATCTCTTGAGACAAACTGACTTGGTGGCATCTGCCATGATAGAAAATGGAGAGGACTGTGTATTGGTTTGAGCAAACCATTGATGTTCACAGTGTGATCTTTACATCTAAGAACACCATTAGTTCAAATATATAAGAAAAAAAAGCAACAGGGACAAGTTCTTTTCATCGCTCACCTTTATCAAAGCAACTCGAGATAGACCTGTTCCACAGTGTGGTGAAATCAGTTGCATTTTCTGCTTTTATAAAATAAGACAATTTTGTCTCATACTAAAATAGAAACCAGTGTTTCTATTTGTAAAACAAATGACGTGCTTTTCACTTCTCATGAGGCATTTTGGAAAGAAGGCTAGACACCTCTGCTTTTATCTCCATTTTAGTTTTCCAAGCAAGAGCAAAACGCACACAGTGGAAACTTACTTTCAGTAAAACCCCACTATTCGTTTCCATTCTTCCACTGCAGCGTTGAAAACCAACATAAAACCCAAAGCAAGCGTACTTGAAGGCAACTAGAAAATTGTTTTTAACTGCTACATTGCTCGCTAACAAGATAAGAGGCTTTATACATTATTTGCGCATGCCTTTCCTCCGCTAACAGGAGACACTCTGTAAAACAGCAGCATTGTGTCAGCACTTTACAAAGTACGAGTCTTAAGGGCGGTATAACACCCGCAGCCACGTCTAAGTATTTTTTCTAACGGGGGTTTTGCCGCGGCAGTGTGCCCTTCTCCGCCCGGGCCCCGCTGCTTACGGAGGCTCCCCCGCTAGAGGGGGATGCAGCCACAGGGCCCGGCAGCGAGCGAAGGCCCAGGCCTCCGAGGGGGGGTAGTCCCGCGGCCCTCCCCTCAGCGGGAAAGGGAAGCCAAAGGCGGGACGTGCCGGACCCTCCCCTCGCAAGTTAACAACAATTAATTAATTAATTAATTAATTAATCTATCTCGACCCGTCACCGCAGGGCGGGCCGCCTGCCGCCTCACAGCGCCGGCAAACCCCACGCTGTCCCACAATGCCCCGCGAGCGCCCGGCCCCGCCTTCTTCCGCG